GAAGACTATTGTATCGTTAAAAATTATTTTTTTATTTTGTACAAACAAAATAAATATATTGAAAAATATAAAAACAATAAAAAATTATACTTCAGAAGTTAATTTAGTATCAAAAACGTAAAATATTTGAGTAGCCCAAGACATAGCCAAAGATTGCAGCGCCACAGCACTGGCGAAAATTTAAATTTGCCAACTGAAATTCTTTCGGATAACCGATGTTTCGGATAACCGACTTTCGGATAAACGACGCTCTACTGCATATATAAAATTAATATAGAATGTAAAAAAAAAACTTAATTTGCAATTTACATTTGTTGTTTTGATTATTTTATTATTACTTATTTAAAGTTACTTCTTGATGTTTAAAACTCACTCAACATTAAAATCTTTGATGTCACGTAATTTAGTTTAATTTTAACATTAATGTCAATACATACAAGACCTAATGAAATTATAAATAAGTGCCTTTTATCAAGTTTTAGATGAAATGTTTATAACACTATAATGTCTGCTCGCTCTCACAACAACAACAACAACAACAACAACACAAAGTTTAGGCTAATTGATCAACATTTACGATTTCAGTAGGTTGACGTCATTCAGCCGACCAATCAGCGCGTTATGCCATCTGGATATTTAGTGGCACCTGTATGTGGCGCCCGCGTATCTAACGCCACCTATATATTTTTTACGAATCGTATTCTGTAGTACAATAGGATAACGCTGATTGGTTACTCGATGTATCGTGAAAATTAATACGAGCATGCAGATTGGACGATTTGTTTTTTTTTTATTCTTCTCCATGCCTACAGTATATTTAGTACATCTGAGTAAAACAACGTCATTGTATACTGTATTATGGGCAAATAAGGAAGAAAAATTCGTCCAATCCGCATCTGGGATTTTAAATTTTCCTCTACATCAAGCGACCAATCAGCATTCTCCTCGGGAGGCGCTTCGTAAAAACGCTTGCAGCGCCACATATCAGACTAAGAAACAATTAAAATGAAATTAAATTAAACAAGAAATAAAAAAACTAATGAATTTACGACGTTAACATCTTAAAAGTCCTAAAAACCTAAATTTAAATTATTTACAAAGTTTAACGCTCTATTCATTCCTCTTTTTTATATAAAAATTATAATTTCGATTACTTCCTAAAAAATAAAAAAAAAGTTCAATAAAAAAATAAGAATTAAAGTTAATAACTCGTAAAAATTGCAATTATTTTATTATTAAATAAAATAAAATAAAGTAGTTAGTAAATAAAAATGAATAGAAGTCGTCAAGGTCATTTGAAAGTTGGTACAATTTTATGATTTCCATTGATTGAAGTAGTAAATATTTAATCATTGAGGAAAATAACATCTTTAGGGAAATAACTATTGTTTTCTATTATAAATAACTGAAGGGCAGAGTTATAAATAATCATATGACAAGAAGTAGACCCCATAGAGAAGTAATATGTTCACTAATGAGTGTTATTCATTCTTTGACAACTTATAAAATAAAATAAAAAAGTTAACGAGATATACCTTTACTTTTTATCGATTACTTTCTTATTTTAAAGTATTTATTTGAATATTTCTGAATTTACGAATAGCTTTTATAACAATTTCACCTGTTTACAGATAGGCTCTTGTTACGTTACGTTAGGTCTGGCCAATCAGAGGACTTATCCCCTTAAATAATGCCTTTTATAATTGAAGTTATGCCATACAATACTTTCTTTAATAGAAGTTTGCCATCAAGGCACTGCTCTATGGTATAGCTCCTTTGATAGAAGTTATACCATAGAACAGGGGCGGATTTAAGAGGTAGGAGAGCCCCACTGAGGGTTTTTTTTCCAGTAAAGACGGGTACTTCAGATTATAAAACACTTTTAAGGCATATTGTCTTCTTTCCTGTGAAGATTTTTGCCCTCGCTATTGCCATAAAGTAGTTTAGTTTGATGAGATGCAGCAACGCAACATGTGGGTGATCGGCCCTCGGTGGGTAGACTTTCTATGGAAAACTTCAAGTGACGATAGGACTTCTGGATAAATATTTCCAGACACAAACAAAATACGCTATATCTAATGGCAAATAAAACAGAATCCCATAAGATTTTGTTTTCTTCAACAATATCAAGAGACTATAAAAAAATTCCAGACAAATTACACGTTTTTACTTTAATTAATTTATATAAATTGTATTAAAAAATAATAAATAAAATAAAATCCTTTCATCTTGACGGTAACAAATTATTCATTGAGGATTATCTAAGTAAACAACTTAATTATCATAAATAAACTTAGTTATATATTATTGATTTTTACTGTAGGAAAAGATAAAAAATGTAATCTTTATTTACTTATCAAATGGAATTAAATACTTAAAATTTAATATATTTACACATTTAAATTAATCTACTTCAAAAAGAAAACTTTATAATTAAATATGTTTTCTTATGGAATGCGTCATTGGATTTAATTTGTTTTCTTTCATTTTTTTATTATTATAAAATTAACAAGAAATGCAACTTTAAAATAAATGATATTTACATTTCTACCTAACGTTATTTTACTTTTTTTTTCTAAACTTATGTAAAAATTTACTGTTTAATAGGCGAGAAATGGTATTATATGAACCACCCCACCCCGGACCCACTCCCGGGTCCTCAGAGCAGTGGGCTACCACCTTAGCCACTCGGCCATCCGGCATCGGTGTAAACTGCTTAATAAAGCAGACTTAATAGTATAAAACCAATCTTTAATAGTATAAAGTAGTGTTTAAAGTAGATATAATAGTACTCGACAGCTGCACAAATATTTGAACCTAATATAACAGCAATCAGCTGGTATGAAATCTGGGTTTTAGATGTATAAAATGGTGTTTAAAGCTGATATAATAGTGTAAGCAGGAATAAAACAAATGTCTAGTACATATAGTAGTGTTTAAAATATATATAATAGTATTAAACAGTGACAAAGAGGTATTTAAATCTTATTTACCAGTGCTCAGCGGATATAATATTGAAGCAGGTACAAAACCCGTGTTTACTTGTACAAAATGGCATCTAAAGCTAAGCCATTGGCTTCTTAGTTTATTTAAATATTCGAAGAGATATTATTTACAAATGTCATACCTTGTTAAGGTTTATATTGGAAAAATCTGGAATTTAAATCTATTTAAATTAATCTTATTAGCGATCTTTATTCATTTTATTCGATTTTTTTTACTAATTAAACGTTGAAAAAAGATTAGGATTTAATTCCATTCAACGATAATTTAAAATTAATACAATTCTCTTTAATGTCAGAATTAATATGGTATTGGAAAAGAAGGATTTACTGAATGGCCATTTGCGTAATTGAATACAGAGTTGAAGAAAAATGGTATTAAAATCAGTAATGTACCGGTACAGGTACGTACTACAATCCTCGGTACTCAATACATGAAGATTGGTAAGGTTATCGACGTTCTTACCCCCAAAAACAGGAGCAGGAACGTTCAATATCGTTCTGTTAGTGATTAAAGAGGTAAAGCTAAACCATCGGTTAAAAAATCCAGTAACGAGTTGCTTAACTTTTCCGGCAACGTTTAAAACTGCATTTTAACCATTTTTAAATAGAAAAAAACTTATTTTGATAGTAGGGATGGGTCCTATTTAGATGCCGAACACGTGAGAAATCAGAAAAATTCCACGCGACCAGTGTTCAGCTGTTTTATCGGACCACTGGTGGGCATTCGATGTTTTGATTTATTAAAAACGAAAAGTATTAGTACTCTTGCTGTAGTGTTGTCATAATATTTTTATGAATGATAATGCTTTCCCAGGAGCAATTATACTTCTGAGAATAACGCTTGAGAAATTTTAATTGCTTTTGGGATCGATAATTCCCAGAGAGAAAAACTACAAAATCGAAGTTTGAGAAAGAGAAAAACTCTGTAAATATCAGTAAAGTATTAAAAAAAATAACGCAAATAAATCATGAATGAGTAGGAATTTCAAAACTACACCACATTCGCTGAAATTTTAAAAACTTTCAAGTAAAATCTACATGTTAATTGAAAGGGGGTTTCAGTAAGTAGATTGGGCCAAAAATACAGTTTGGGCATAAAATTAAAGAGATTGATGATTCCGCCGAAGAGAGATTTAAGAAAGGCGTAATCGTTCGGGCTCAATTTATAACATTAAGTCTATAAAAACTCCACCTCACCAATTCCCACACCCGAAAAGTTCCAAAAGGCATGCATAGTTAGTTTTGTATTAATTTAATAATCCAATATTTTAATAATCAATTGTTTCGCTTTGTTGAAATGCCAATTATTTACACCAATACAATGGAAAATTACAGTCCTCTTCTTCGATCGTGTCTAATTTATATCAATTCCCATCTGCAAGATATAATTAATTATTACCGGAGACGAAATGTTTATACCGAAAGTTTATTTTCTGTACTTCCTCCAATTTTATGCGAGTTATTGCTGAATTTTGCACCCTCCGATCTCGATCCTCAAATACTTTGCAATTTCTTCAGAAAAGGAATTAAAACACTACGTTTAGCATTTTACAACCACGACATACCCATACGAAGATTTTCTGAATTCTCTCAAGAAATCACTCACGCAAGGTTTGGGTTTTCCAACATCACACAACAAAATCTTGGAGAATTGATCCGTTTGTTACCAAATGTTTCAGTTCTAAGCTTATGTGGAACAAACGCAAACGATTCTACAGTAGAGACAATTGGCAAACATTGCCCTCTCATAGAATGTCTCGATTTATCATATTGCCTGATAACTGACGTGGGTCTAAGTTCGCTGTGTTACGACTCTGAGGATCAGCAATTCCCGAGGTGTAAATATTTAAAGGTGCTAAAAGTCAAAGGTACTGTTATAACTGTAAATGGGCTCGTTAATGTATTGGAATACGTACCACTTATGAAGATCCAAGTGGAAAGAAACCTCTACATGAATGCTGTATGCCATTTCGTACAGCGCAATTATAACAGACACCTGCATCTCAGAGAGTTGTGTTTGATTCCCAGTGAAGACAGAATGGATCTTCCAGATATTTTGCTGTCGTTTCCCGAATTGCATACATTGTGTATATATAAATTAGCCATTAACGAAACGGATCTTATAAACACACTGTCATCACTCCTGTGTCTAAATCGTTTGTCCATCAGCATTCAGAAAGGTGATTCGAGTTTGACCTTCGAGGGAATAAGTTGTTATCTGTTTTCTGCAGGAAAACAACTGACCGAATTAAAGTTAAACAATTTCGAATACGTTAACCTCTATCAAATCGGAACACGTTGCACCAACTTAAGAATTCTAGGACTTTATTCGATCCGCCATCTTTACTTCAAGAAGGACGATGTCGTAGAGCAGTTGGATCCAATTTTCCAACAGCTGGAGAGGTTAAATTTGGAAAACATTCGAGGAGATCCTTGGGACGATTGCCTCTCATCCCTGTTCTCGAATTGTTCCAGGTTGAATGAGTTGATCATCTCTTCTCTGTCCTGTTTGAACGACGATCTGGTTCTAGAGATTGTACCACTTCTGAAAACAGTTCAAACCCTCGCACTTCATAATTGCGAGAACGTCAATAAGTGGTCCATATACTGCATTATAGATCAAGCTCCGAGTCTGAAGAGTCTGTGGATGATCTACAATAGGAATGTCTTATCGGAAAGAGAACAAGCGCACGTCAGGGATTACATCAAGTTGAAAAACATCGGCGTGCGGTTTCATTATTGGGAAATTCTGGGGCATTTCGTTCCTTCTGATCAAATTAGCATCACCTTAGACGAAATGCAATTTTAAGAAATCAGGAAGACTCTTCTGTGGCTGCCAATGTGTCCAGATTATATCCATACGCGCATTGCATTTGCAGAAAATAATTATAAAATGATGAAATCTCTTGATTTTTATTATAAAAATGAATAATTTGAAAATATAAACGTGAAATTTGATCACAGTTCGGCTATATTTTTAATTTTTAGTCATATTTCGTGTTTCATTCGAACGATTTCACTTTATTTAAATATCAAAAAGGGTACCTGATTTTCAAAAGAGAATCCTTTAAGACCTGAAATATATGAATAAATTTTCATTTGTAACTAACAAGCAAGACTTTAAAGGCACTAATCTGCCATTCTGTAGGGATTGGGTTTGACTACAGTTAATTATTTGTTAATTGTTAATTTGGTTAGGTTTCGCCATGACAAACAACAGTATGATACGGTGTGGCAGCCTCAAAGTTCAGACTTAATTTACGTGGTGTTCAATCATTGCCATGGAAAGTCTTTAGGATATGAGGAAAAATTAAAATGTGTGGATAGTTAAGGGGTGTAGGTAGTATAGTAGTAGGCGGCATTAGTGCTTCCCACGGGAAGCACTAATGCCGCCTAGCAAGTAAAGTAGGAATCTTGAAAAGAGGGATTGTTCAAGTGTTGATGCTATTTAAAATACTGTTAGGCCTAACAGTATTTTGTCCAAGTTAAAATATAAGGTTTAAAAGATATGCACACGCGTTATCCTCGATAAGTAGCCATATTGTTTACATTTCACTAGCGCCACCACAAAACGCGGTGGCAGACCTGGGAGAATACCGATAAGTTCAAAATAAACCACTCTGTTCATTATTTTATTGATAAACAAAACTGTAATTATACAAATTTACAGTAATACCTTACCATCATCTCTAATTCTTTCCATTATGAGGATACCAAATGGGTCTTTTAACATATCCAACAATCCCCATAAGAAACATGGATCACCTAAAAGTTTCCAACCCAGATTCAATCCTGGATCCTCCATAGGAGAGCTTTTAGACTACAATGAATATCTTCTCTGTGTGGCTTTCTACTCATCATCTTTCTCATTAAAAATGGATAAACCTTATAATGTTTATCTATTTTATATTATTTACACTGTCCAAGATGTTAATATTTCATTATATTTCATACCTTTTCTTAGAAGATATTCTGCATTTATTTGGAAATTCTTACATAACTCCATAAATCAGATGCAAAGAATGCTTCACAAACTCCTGGTGCTTCATGTTTCATATCCACCTTGTTTTAATATTAAATACAATTTGGCACGTTACATAGAAGGTAACTTCTGATAAAGTTCCAGCTTTAGAGGCAAAACGTAATGAATGACATTTATGAACATTTATGAAGGTAGGAGTCCTCTATTCGCTAACTGGACTACACGACAGCCAATTGAACAGTCTGTTACAAGATGGAATTGCTCTTGCACATGTAAAATACAGTATAAGTCGATCCGAGTGTACCCCTGAAACTGCAAGATGGCAGCTTTCTGTCTCCATGGCACTAAACGCACCCACCGAAAGAATTTCTCGTAGTAATATATTATATCACTGTATAAGCAAGCGAGAAAACTCAAGTTATTTTTTGCAACATTAAAGACGAATGCCTCGTGAAGTTTCTTGCACGTGGATCCAGTACTGGATCAAGAAACTGCAAGAGGCACTCAATACAGCGCTGAGATCTTACACGAGAAATTCATTCCTCAAGGAAATATTGAGCAACCTACGAGTTGTACGTGCTTTCAATATGCAGCAGTGCAACGAGGTAAGTCACGTGAATTTGCAGTGCCACAATTCACTTTTTGTATCCTGCCAAGAGGCATTTCTAGCGCCATCTATTGTCCGTATTAGAAATTTATCAATGTAATACGAGAATCCATTCTACATGAGAACACGATTTAAATTGAATACAGAAATTTGATTCTATTGATCCTCGCAATTCGTAATTCTTGGCAAGATGATAAAGAATTTTACTACAGTGGAAAATCGATTATCCGGACTGTATGGGACAGGGGGTGCCGTGACATTTGATGATAGGGAAGTTGTGTTTCTGTAAGAAGCCGACATCCAGGGGCAATCAGTCAATTGCGCGTCAGTGATGGTCTAGGGTCCATTCGTATCGTTTATCCGATAAGCCAGTAAAACCCATAGACTTCTCTAAATGCATTTTTGATATCACAATTACATTCCGAATCGCTAGCCACGATATAAGGGCTACAATTAAAAATAAAATAATAAAAACTTACTTTGTGAAATAAAATACGTGGTGGTGTACTGGTGTGAAATGTTCAACGCAGACAGGTAAACACATACACGTTTTACCAATTAAACGAGTTTAATTTCTCGCTGAATTTAAAATATATATACAGAATAGGTTCGGATTCCCGCTGTTCTCCTTCTAACGGTTGCACAATCTTGAGTGAACAGGTATATCAATAGACCGGTAGTAGTTAATTTCTCGATAACTACCTCCAGACAATTTATTTGCACGCGTAAACCTTAACCTAACTTAAACTAAAAATAGAACAAATAGAAGGGGAAATTAGAAGAATTTAAGGACGAAGGGTACCCAATTTTTCAGTTGGTTCTCCACCTTCCTCGTCTCGGATTAGGGGTGAGGCGAGTTCTCGGAAGTCCGAGACAAAGGAACACAGAAATCGGAAAGAAGGAAAATTATAGAATTTAAATTAAACTAAAACTATACAGACTAATAATAATAATAAAAACAGGCGTGTAGCCACACTGGTACATACAAAATATTCTTCAATTATACGAATATACTCTTAAAATTATAATTAAATATAGCTTTGCAAAGAAACGTACATAAAAATATTCTTTACTTTTTAAATCTTAAAACAATGCACTTAGTCAAATAGCTCCCTACGAGTGGCTAATGGATGGAATAGAAGATGGTTGCAGAGCGTGCATACACGCGGACTGCCAAATCCCCAGGGTGCCGATACCGGTCAATGTCAAATACCTCTTTTGTCGCATCATTAGTATATCTCAAAGGACGTGAGAGGGCTGTTGTAGATTTTAAACGTTTCTCACCATAGCTGTAAAAATCTAAATATGTTAAATTTAATAGCCATTTGTTTTCTAACTAATTCGTTTTAGGACCAGGTGTTGTCCACGGAAATTTCTAAAATTTACAACTTTTCGGTCACTCTCGTCGAACTGGAAAAATTTCTGTCTTTATTACATCTAATATTTCGAAGAAATCAGTTCCCACTGTACTCAACTATAGATCGGTTCGGTTAAGCTTTTGTTTAAATAATATTCCGGCTCTTTCGTCAGGATTTTGTTTACGTCCCCAATTCCCTAATCGCTTAATTATTTAACTACTTCTTAATTAGAAATAAGTCGAAACCAGTTACTTTGTACTCGAATATTTGTAGTCTCGGGAAAAAAGTGGAAAGACAAATTTTTTATGACAAACGGATACATAAATCGTAAATTTAAGGAAAATAAATTCTAGGGCTTCATAATGCGGTTATAATAAAATATTGTGCGATTATTTTCGTATAATTAAAATTAATATGTATTTATTTTTTTATAAAATACAAGGAAAGCGACGCTTCCACCGCTTCTAATGACGGCACGCTACTGGTATGGGACCAGGGATCTTCAGATAATCAAGAGCCGGTTATGTCGACTTGTCTATTGGTGCATGGCCCTGCCCTTAGTGGGCTTGTTACACGAATAATGCTCGACTCCCGCATTATAAGCGGTTCCGCAAAAATAGAGCGGTTCTGCACTTTTATAACGAAAAAACACTTTAAAATGGCGCGCGATAACAATATGTATTCAAAATGGCCTCCTGCAGCAATGAAAGCTTGAATCTTCCGTATGGGTGCGTGTAGATTAGAGTGAGTGAATCAGTAACTCGATCCACTTTAAATGAAACAGAATGTGTTATTGGTTTGCTTCTATGGTTGCTTGCTACTTAAGACATATCACATATTTGCAGACATTTTGAGTAATTTTGCAAACTTCAATGTAATTTCAGTAATTTCAACGTGAAGTTCAGCAATACCCGGCTTGGTTTTCTATACTGTGTTAGTCCAAGGAAAAAAAAGACAATGAAAATTTACGAGCTTAATAACTTATACCTAGCTCTCCACTCTATTTATGGTACAAAAAAGGAAATCTTTACCTTAATCCAATCCCTTTAAAATCAATGCTGATGCAAAACATTCCTTACAGGTTCTTAGGAATGTCTTGCAGAGTTTTTAAAACTCTCCACCTGTAAATATTAAAAAGGATTTTTATCGTTTCCATCGTAGATTCAATTAGGCCCACAGCAGGCGCTGCCAGATAGTGAGATGAGGTCTGTTGGTATCAAATTCGGATCCTGTAAGGCAGCGGAAAGACATACCTAATGCCTACACCGTGGTGTAAATGTGTAATTGTTGATAGAGAATTAAAGTCATTACCTTAATTGAAAGTAAATAATCATTAATTGCATTCTCTAATGAAATTTACACTATTTAAATTGATTTTTTAGGAAATAAACAATTAAATAAAGCCATATACAAATTGAATTTAATAAAAAGTAATCATCATCATCTACAAATTTCTGCTATTTTTTAATTATTTGCAAGTAATTTTGTTTGTTTACACTTTAAATGGATTATAAAAGACAATTTCATTCACAATTAATTAAATTACTTGAAGTTATCTTTCTCTTATACAACCTAAAATATTAAACTTTCTTATATTTACAATTTCTAATAAGTAAAATTAATTAATTAATTAATCAATATGTAGTTTCTTCAATAAGTAAAGCCTCAAAAATGGTAACCGGTGGGCCTCTCTTAATTTCTGAGAGGCCCACTATCTTACTCTCATTACTTACTCTCGAAAACCAGAACAATACATGTCCGAGTGGATGCAGAACTTTCCATATTTTGCAGGGTATGCTGAATATATAAATATGGGGCCTATTCGAAGTATCAAGAATTGAGTGGTAACCAAGCATGACGCCTTTGTAAGCATCTCTGTGAGAATGCACAAGTTGAGTAAGGATCATAATGGTAATAGAACCAGTGACATATTTAGAAACATGGCACCGTGGAACTACAATGGTGTATCTGTGAGGTATCAAGGATTATATGTTAACTAAGTATCTCTTTGTGTGGGACTGTGAAAATGCACAAGTTTCATATCACGATGCTGCCTATAACGGTAAGGAGGAATGGTGATGATCCTTACCATCGGAATAAGCTCCGATAGTAATAGAATTAGTCACAGATTTAGAAATAGTGTTCTTAGGCTCACAACAGCACAATATTCCTAATTTTTGTTTCCGAACTTTTGTTCCCAGACCCAGAAGCCTCGTGAGAAAGCCACCACAGAGTAGAACAGTTGTTACTAGAACATAAATAGAACAATGTATTGATTAAAGTTGATTTAATATTGTCGACAAATTTTAAATTATTATTTTATTAAATTTTCCAGAAATTTCAGATTATCATTTGAATTTTAAATAAATTTCAACACAAGCTATTATTTTATGACATCATCGATAACAGAATATGACTTTAGAAATGTCAAAAATGCATAAATAAATTATTTTTTATGGTAAACAGCTCATACAGAATATAAATTTTATAAAAACATTTATAAACACATTAGACTTATAAATTATTAACTTCTAATATTTTGTAATTCAATATCAAAGCTATACATCGAGAGGATAGACACACAAAACACCGAGCTGCACTTATATGTATAAAATTGAATAATTTTAACATCAAAATAGCATTACGAAAGCTATAAAATCATTATGGAATACAGGAAAACATCATTTGTTAGTGTAATTTCTTGTATTTTTTAGAAAAAAACACAATTAAATGTATCGATAACATAGAAGACCAAAATTATGTGTATTATTCTGGGTGATCAAATGAAAGTAGAACTCACAAGATGTAGCTTCAGGAGTGTACAATGCTGAGAGGTCACTTGTTGATGCCACAAATCACTTTTGGCAATTCACGGCATCACCAGATCCGACTCACAGCATCAAAAACTCCACACGTGCAATTATTTGTGAGTTCTATGATTAACTGTATAGACTTTCAAAATTATTTTATCTGTTTAATGGATTAGTTACAAATCCTTTGAGCTTGATACTAATTAAACTTATTAACTTGATGTTTAGTTTTTGTTGTTTAGAAGTAAAATTTTCAAGTTTACTATCTTGTGTTTATAATATATTTTAGCAAAATTTATCTTATGTAATACTTGAATGGGTAAGTAAAGAAATAAGTTATACAACATTATAGCTGCTATTATCTTTCACAATTGATAAGAAACAGCCAGCAATAACCGAAGGAATCAGACTTTAAAAACCTTATAAACATTTTTTGAAGCTATTTTTCTTGTCTTCCTCCACGGTTCTTAGTGGGAATGTCTTTGAATTTTGGAAAGTAACTTTATTGGGTCGCAGAACCGAACTTTCTCATAGACATCAATTGTCAAAATGGCACCTTGGTTAGTTCGGAAGGATTCTGCAAGTATGCTTCGATTCATACCCGGAGAGCTTTCTGTACGCATATTTTTTCTGCATAATTCCTGCCAACATCTTAGAGAAAAGCTGTTTTATACATTTTAGATGAATGTAAATGGTAATATTTGTGTATTTATAATGTTTTAAAGTCTAACATCTGTTGTTTATTGCTTGTTATCTGTTATATAAGATCAATACGGACAGGATAAAAGTGCATTGTCATCAAGAAGATATAATTAAGGCCGGGAACACATGCATATAAAGCATGTCCATTATAATGAATGTACTGGTACTTTTGTACAGATGTTGCCTAGACAACATATGAGAGTAATGTATGGTATATTCGTATGGCAGATACACTGTAGAAAAGTACTTTTGCTGACATTCTTAGACATTCCATTAGCATATAACACTTTTTAACAAACTTACTTTAGACGCTTGTCTTAAGCAGAGAGTGGACAACTTTTTTTATAGTAAAGGGCTACAAATTGAATACTTTATCATACTCCATTATAAATAGAAAACATAAATAATAATTTCGTCTGTTTTTGTTGTATGAGTCGTAAGTTTATAACAGAATATATTTTGGATTTTAAAAATAGAAATCAATGGATTGAAAGCATCAATCTTCTACCTAAATGACAGTATGAGCAACAACTCTATTAACTCAATTCAAATGTTCCTATATAAACTGTGGGATCATTATTTATTAATAAAAATTCATATTTTAGGCTTTATAAATTAATTGTAATTCTAAAGATAATAACGTTTAATTACTTATCCTTTCTTAAAATATTTAATTAGAGTTTGAATCTTTGGAACTGTATTTTGTGATTGTTTCTGAACAGAATATCTAATTGGAGTATCGGAATTTGAATTTAATGAGGTTTTCCTGTATATTTTAAACTTAACAAGTCTGAATAAATAAAATTATACAAAAAGTTTTATAATAAAATAGGAATGATAATTCAATTCTTAAATTTCTTCAATTTAGTTTTTACTTTAAAGCTGATTTTTTATGATACCTCAATTATAATTACACTATTTACAAGATATTTAAATTTATTTCTATCTGAATTAGTTAAATAAAGTTAAATTTTTAATAATATTTGAATATTTAGTCTCCAATTACATGCATTGTAACATAAACAGTTCAATGAATAGTTACGTTACAAAAATCTTGATATTACTGCATACGTAACTCGAAACTAAGCACTCTGGATTAATTTTTCCGTACTTACAATGCTTTGTCCATAGCTAATTTAGTTTGAATGGTTAACAAAAGATAACAATGTATACAGTATGACATTAAGTTAATTTACCATAAATATAGCAACCGAATGACAGATCGAGAGTACTCGCTGGAATAAAATTAACAAAGTTTGGTCGTTAAATCACCATCGAGGATTCTTCTGGCCAATTCCTGAATCCAAAATGGATTTGATCTCTTCTAGAAAACTAGAAATTGATTTTAAATGTTATCTAAAGCTTGAAATATTTTGTTAAATGAAGAAAGAGGAGATATTCTACCTGTTAAAGTTATGAATTGTAGTTCCTCCCAATATAATTCGAATTCCGGGATTCGTGTTGTTTAATTGATGCACTGTTAATGATTCCTCATACGTCATGCCTCCTATCATAAATACAATAATATCTTGTGGACTGAAAAGAGAATTTTTATTTCAGTTACATTTAAAAAAATTGTTTGTGATATTACCGTTACTTTTTCATTATTAAACAGCTTAATAATAACTTTCTTCTCTCTCTTTCTCCCAAGTCTGTCTGCACAGGCCATCTCCAGTAGATTCTATCAGTTAAAACTTCATTCACAGTATTCCATGCAATCCCCAATATACCGAGATTTTCTTGGAGTGTTCACCTGTGCGTCATGTGATNCAACATCTTAGAGAAAAGCTGTTTTAAACATTTTAGATGAATGTAAATGGTAATATTTGTGTATTTATAATGTTTTAAAGTCTAACATCTGTTGTTTATTGCTTGTTATCTGTTAGATAAGGTCAATACGGACAGGATAAAAGTGCACTGTCATCAAGAAGATACAATTAAGGTCGGGAACACATGCATATAAAACATGTCCATTATAATGAATGTACTGGTACTTTTGTACAGATGTTGCCTAGACAACATATGAGAGTAATGTATGGTATATTCGTATGGCAGATACACTGTAGAAAAGTACTTTTGCTGACATTCTTAGACATTCCATTAGCATATAACACTTTTTAACAAACTTACTTTAGACGCTTGTCTTAAGCAGAGAGTGGACAACTTTTTTTATAGTAAAGGGCTACAAATTGAATACTTTATCATACTCCATTATAAATAGAAAACATAAATAATAATTTCGTCTGTTTTTGTTGTATGAGTCGTAAGTTTATAACAGAATATATTTTGGATTTTAAAAATAGAGATCAATGGATTGAAAGCATCAATCTTCTACCTAAATGACAGTATGAGCAACAACTCTATTAACTCAATTCAAATGTTCCTATATAAACTGTGGGATCATTATTTATTAATAAAAATTCATATTTTAGGCTTTATAAATTAATTGTAATTCTAAAGATAATAACGTTTAATTACTTATCCTTTCTTAAAATATTTAATTAGAGTTTGAATCTTTGGAACTGTATTTTGTGATTGTTTCTGAACAGAATATCTAATTGGAGTATCGGAATTTGAATTTAATGAGGTTTTCCTGTATATTTTAAACTTAACAAGTCTGAATAAATAAAATTATACAAAAAGTTTTATAATAAAATAGGAATGATAATTCAATTCATAAATTTCTTCAATTTAGTTTTTACTTTAAAGCTGATTTTTTATGATACCTCAATTATAATTACACTATTTACAAGATATTTAAATTTATTTCTATCTGAATTAGTTAAATAAAGTTAAATTTTTAATAATATTTGAATATTTAGTCTCCAATTACATGCATTGTAACACAAACAGTTCAATGAATAGTTACGCTACCAAAATCTTGATATTGCTGCATACGTAACTCGAAACTAAGCACTCTGGATTAATTTTTCCGTACTTATAATGCTTTGCCCATAGATGATTTAGTTTGAATGGTTAACAAAAGATAACAATGTATACAGTACGACATTAAGTTAATTTACCATAAATATAGCAACCGAATGACAGATCGAGAGTACTCGCTGGAATAAAATTAACAAAGTTTGGTCGTTAAATCACCATCGAGGATTCTTCTGGCCAATTCCTGAATCCAAAATGGATTTGATCTCTTCTAGAAAACTAGAAATTGATTTTAAATGTTATCTAAAGCTTGAAATATTTTGTTAAATGAAGAAAGAGGAGATATTCTACCTGTTAAAGTTATGAATTGTAGTTCCTCCCAATATAATTCGAATTCCGGGATTTGTGTTGTTTAATTGATGCACCGTTAATGATTCCTCATAAGTCGTGCCTCCTATCATAAATACAATAATATCTTGTGGCCTGAAAAGAGAATTTTTATTTCAGTTACATTTTAAAAAATTGTTTATGTGATATTACCGTTACTTTTTCATTATTAAACAGCTTAATAATAACTTTCTTCTCTCTCTTTCTCCCAAGTCTGTCTGCACAGGCCATCTCCAGTAGATTCTATCAGTTAAAACTTCATTCACAGTATTCCATGCAATCCCCAATATACTGAGATTTTCTCGGAGTGTTCACCTGTGCGTCATGTGATTTGGCATACTTTGCACTTTAAAATGGATGGAATATTTCATATCACTATTTTGGCATTGGTAAGAGGCACACCCAGTTAAATTCAATCTGCATTCAGCCACAACATCCTCCAGACTCTGCTTTGCTCCTCCTCAAAATTTCATTTGTGAGCCAACTGAGAACTAATTCTGAGGATTCTCTGCATACATAGAAGGCAGATTTGAGCCTCTGGTTGATACTTTCTTCAAATAATTCAAATTAAACAATATGGTTTATGTATAAAAATAAATTTTCCTCTTCATACATAATACTAGAAAGTAATTCATAGTGTATATCAGTGCAGTGTAGTTACACTGAAATGCTTTATCATCTTTAACACCTATTTCACAAGTTGATGTATTACATCTGTAGATTGGTATGTCTCAGACAGCTACATAAATATTTACAGTTGTAGTTCATTAAATGCCAGAAAACACTACTGTGCCTTCAAATTGCTACCCCAATATCTTATATAAAGGCTTGCAGAGATTCATTGTGTTCAGAATTTTCAGTGTACCTGTTATTTGGAGGTTCCTTCACCAGGCATACATATGATGCAGTTAATTCTTGACAGATACCAAGGGTCCATTTGGACCTCGGGTGTTTGACATTAATTAGCCATTAATTGCACATGAGATACCTAGTCTTTTGTGACATCTTTTGTAAGGAACATAGAAATGGGGGAGTGACATTGTTGCAATAACATTTGCAATATTTTGTTAGTTTCGGCAATGGTTTTCTGAAAGTCACTACTCGGCCAACCTGAGGTCCGCTATTCTAAGAGAACAAATCTATGCCACAACTGTGTATAAAGATTAAAGTTTTTAATTAATTAATTTAGAAAATTCTGTGAGAAGATTGCAGGTTAGAATCAAAAAACCAAAGCAATTCTCACATATTGGAAGTCTGAATAGCATAATTAATAATGAATCTTTAACTACTGTATGTCAAAGACACAAGTTTTACTATCAATCAATCTTTTCTTCCAGGATATTCCAGATCATTTAATTAATTTGAAACATATGAACAATGTTAATTTAAATGTAACATGAAAGTAATCCAACATTTTAAGCCTATGCATGCTCTTCTTTTGTATTTTGTAATTAAATAAACCCTACATAGTTGTGTCTTGGTTACAAATATATAAAACATACCTTTCACGCAGCTGAACTGTTCCAAGATACGGAAAAGCAGGTTCTTTTAATCGACCTCTAATAACATCTTCTAATATTTCTTTCAATAGAGGAGTGTGTTGCGTATAAATATTTTCTACTCCCTATAAAATAAGGAATAAAACTATTGAGTAAAATACATTTTCAAAGACATATGACCAATAATTAAACTTACCTTTAAACCTTTAATAACTTTTCTAGTGATTGCTCGAACATTTTCCGTCGTAAATAATTCATTAGTACGATACTTGCTACTGCTGAATTCTAATATTAAATTGATCCTCTGAAAGTAGAATATGTTTTTTCTTCATTTACATGTAATTAAAACTAATTACTAAACAAGGTAAATTTACCTTAATCAATTTTTCAGGAACGCCTCTCTTTTTCAATGCTTCTATTAATCCCGACTTATCGTTATTACTGTGTTTTTCGTAAGTCAAAACGTACAGCATTACTAATCTGATGGCGTCGATGTCGGATATCTTATCGTTGTTAATTAATCTTCGAATTTTCTATAAATAAGCAAAGTCGTAGACATACTATAAGTATATTTCTAATTGCATTAATTGAAATAGTTTATTAATTACCTTTAACGATTCGTTGTGATCGTGTTGGAAAGCTAATTCCTGTTCGACTTCAGACACTTCAAAGAGATTACGAGTAGACACGAGACGAGACAATTCTCCGACTAGAGTCACGTGCTTGGATACAGTTCCGGACATCTTTTTAAATTGAGGATAATTTTCCACAAAAGCCTGAAAAATATATATTTTTAATTATAGTGATGAAAATAATATATTTTCTTATCTAATTTAGAACGCAACTTTCGTTTTAGTTCCTAAAAATTAGCCCCCATGGCTTGAAAACATTACTTCTTGTGAATTGTTCATTAATTTGTTTCAAATAAAAAGTAATTCAGAGTATCTTAGAACTGACAATATATAAAATTTTTCATCTAATGGCAGGATGATGATGGCTGATTCATGATGACAATGGATAAGGCAGAAAATCTACTAATTTGTCTATTTTGTAGTGCCTGTAATCTACTGTGTTTATACTTAACTAGCAGAATGTTAATTATATCAGGTTGTAAAGAAAAATTTACATATTTTGAAAGAACTCTTGACAATTAACTCAACAATGATTACAGTTCAATCCTGTGGGTAAGTGTCATCAATATCAACCACATTTCACCACCTTTTCTACAAACTTTCAACCCCGTGAGCATACAATGACTGGAGTTTTTCTTTGAAGAAAGTCTTGAGGGTCATTCTTACATGGATACTGTCATTGAATTATATATTAACAACGTGGCTCTGCAGTACACAAAACAGATGGTAATCAGTTGGCACCGACTCTGGGCTGTAAGGTGGAAGAGGCAGAACATCCCAACCCAGTCCGGCCAGCTTTTCTACGATAATCTTTGTTCTATGTGCTGGCATGTTGTTGTGGCAGTTTCAGTTTTTGTCACTTTTTGGACAGTTGTTAACAGTAATGTTATTTTGTGACAGTGATGTTGTTGAAAGCAGTTTCATCATGACAATGCCAAACAAATGCAGATCACTGCCATGTTCCGAATTATTGGTCTTTTGACACTTGCAACAGCTGGTCAACCTTTGCTCACCCATGAATGCTTTAACAAACACTTTGCAGATGAGATTGCAAGTAGAAAGACAGTACACAACATTCAACAGTAGAAAAACTGACAGATTTCCACCTGAGATAATACACTGTACAGGTTTGTGGCATCACAACTAAAAACACAAGTGCCAGCTCAGAGATTGACAAAAGATATTCTCGGCCAATTAAAATGTAATTTTTACCATACAAAAAATAGTAAATACAATGCAAGCAGGAAGACTCTGTGAATAAATGGGGTAACTATTAGAAAGAAGAAACATATAATTAGGTATTTACCTTCATATCGGCAATCGATTCGACTTTCTGTTGATTTTTAGTTTTCTTCTGGTATTCTTCCATTAATTCCTTGATATTAACTCCTATTTCACCAAAATTCTGATACATATTCTACAAGGTGATGATTTAGTTTAGGTTTGGAAAATTAAAACTGGATATTTTAATTGCAACAAAATACCTACTTTGGCGTAAAATTCATCATACTCGGGTGACAGAAGTACTTCTTGTAGTTCTTTACTGATGCCCGGAACTTTGGATAAATTCACACGATTATTATTAATTCCTAACAATTCGTGTACCATTGCTTGATAAGTCCACTAAAAGTATTAATCTTTTTAATCGCTTTTGTTACATTTTTAAAATTTGACCCATAAAATTAACTCACTTGATTGAGAAGTGGCGTGATAGGATCACCTTTTCTATCCAAGATTAATAAAACCGGCAAGACGTCCATCCTTCAAAACTCAAACAGCGCTGCCTCTTTAGATATCACTTGCTGATTTAAATTAAAATCATTTTTAAACTGTTATTAAATATAATTAAATGTATCGAGAGAGTATTGCATCCTTAAACTTACTCTGACGTTATCCGCTAACCTCTTCGCTGTTTCTGAGGAGGCCTGATACCTTATGAGTGGGCATTTTTTTAGTGAAAGCAAGACTGATGTCAAACCCTGAACCATTCTCTGCAAATGAACTTGATTCCAACCATGTCTCTGTAAATTTTATGTTATTCTTTAAGTGAATATCCAACATAAATTATTTAAGTGTAAATTCTCTAAAAAATTGAGATGTTACCTGATAGCATCCCACGATATTCAATGAAAACAAGTGGGAATTAACAGGAACAAAGTCGCCATAAAACTCCTGTAATTTAAACACAATCTTATCAAATTATAATGATAAAAATTATCTATGCAGACTATCCTCAATTACAACCACTCCTATTTATAATTGCCATCCTGTAAATTGGAGTAACACAGCACCATCGCATAACAAAACATCTGTGCTACAACTTATCAATGTGCCTCGACAACCGACACCTAGAGAAAAGAGCTTACAATATTAGAATTGACACAAAAATACCAATTTTTCAATGCTTGCGGTGTTCCCAAATCCACCGCAAGGCCTTCGGAAACATCAACATATCCCACAGATAGATATGGACTTGATAATTCAGTCATACAAAATATATATTTAAGTACATAACATACTTACTTCTACTTCTCTAACAGCTTCATATTCATCAGCTTCAGCCAAGAGTTTAATATCACTTTTACTTATAACATTACTAAAATCTGGAAGAGAATAAATTAATAAGAAACAACTCTTATTATAAGTTGAACTACATATTTAAATCATACTATACATTGAATAATTTAACTTTGAATAATGTAAAAATGTAACATTTCTCTATGTAAATGTCATCTATATAAATGGATAGCAGTGGTTCTTAACATTATTATGTGGAACATAGGCCTTGAGTTCCACCAAAATAAAAAATAAAAAAACATTTTAAAGTTTTTATTGCAAATTTATTTGAATTGCCACATTCATAGACAATTCAATGTTTCTATTTTATCCAATACATTACACTTTATTAGTTTATTAAGTCATTGTTTTCAAAGAATAGTAAACATGAAATTGCTTATCAATTTTTTAATACACTGTTGCCAATGCTCCATGTAATAAAAAGCATATGAATGGTGTTCCGCAGCCTCATAAACACTGAGAAATACTAGTGTAGAGAATTGCAAAACTTTTCATCAGGCTACACTCTTTCTCATTTTACAGAATGCCTTTTGGGATTTTCATCCTATTTTGGCCACACTCTTAATTCAAAATAGTCTTATTTCCCGATTTTCCACTGTTGTACAGCTTCAATATTCTGCATGCCCTTCTCTAGCCTGTTACTGTTACTGAGTTATTAGAATGTCTATATGTCAGTTTATGCATCTGCTAGATCAATTTTCAATAGCATAACATTTTTCTTTCTGTAAGAAAAATTTTAACTCGAAAGCAATCAAATTTACTTACATATAAAATACTGTCCGTAACGAGGAGCCTTGAGTTCTTGGGACAGCAACTCCACGTTCTCCCTGGTGGGACGTAAAAATGCAATGCACTTCAAATGTTTTAGACTGTCCCTGTCTTTACTGGCTGTCTCGATTTTTTCAAACAGGTATACTTCTTTCTGTAAGATCTCGGACTGTGCGAATGCCAAGCTTACTATGCTAATCTGTAAAAAAGAATTCAACCATTATATGTTTGCCTGTTATGAAAGTAAATAGACATGATTAAAACTACATTATAATGGCTAGAAGTTCAGACACTTAAGGCGTGCAACTCTCAAAGACTCGTCGAAATCTCAAAATCTTTGCTGGTAGTACTCTAATCTCAGTTATTGTAATTCTGTTTGATCTCATGTAACAACTACAATAAAGAATACACTGACCAAATTTCATTTGTAAGTATTGGACAATCCGGCAATCTGCTGTTATGCAATTCAGTTAAATCATCGATACGCAACCTTGCACAGCAGTAAAAAATGTTTATTAAACTGAAAATCTAACATTTTTGGTCATATTTAATGGCCTTCATCTGGTCGATGTTCTAAACATCAATCATTTTCAAATACTAGTGGAAATAGAACAGAAATTTATGAATGCCGGACACTGTTTAAATATAAAAGATCCTACAGTCCGCCATGTAGTTGTGACACAAGTAAAACTAAAAGACAAAATTCAAAAAAATGCATGTTACATTTCATTGCATAGACCACAAACCAGGATTTCCAAACACTCGACGTCAGGTTTGTGTTCTTGTAGTCAACAGAGTACCACTTACGTGATGATTTATAGATTTCAAAAGCCTTGACGTGTCTGAAAAGATGCCTGTTTCGTATGTGCTCGGTACCCTTAAATTCTTCTCACCAAACCTTGACCAAATAAAATAAACCATTTGATGGTGCACAAGATGATTGAGTGATTTACTACCAAAGCAGTTACTTTGTGAATTACTGTGCAATTTATACATCTTTGACAAGCTGAATAGTTAGCACACAATTAGGTGCATTGGAAAATATGTTAAGCATATAACATTATTTTAAAAATACGTAGAAATATCAGCAATATTAAATGTTAAAATTATAGCAGACCATCTCAGTAAAAGGATATGCAGCTTACTCATACAATCGAGAAAAAGATAAGCTGCATATTTTTTCCGACATCAATTAAGTAAATGGATAAGCAACTGTCTTTTCCCCAACTGATTCCATTACAATTTTAGCATATAACACTGCAAATTTTCTTATTTATTGCTTAAATAATATTACAGAATCATTAGATAGTGCTGTAATTACTGTAATTTTGTATGGATAACTTGCAGCAGTTTTTAAGCCGCACCATTGCATAATGTGCCTTTTCTATGTTTAGATACATAAATATTTATCATTCTGTTACTTATAAACTATAAAAATAGCAAACTGTACCATGTAAGGCTTGTGTAATGAGTAAATACACTCTATCATGTTTACTTAACAGCATATTTCTCAAAACATCCCTGTTCTTAAGTAACGTGTACCTGCAAGGACTGTAAATCATTCTTTAGTCAGCAGTCAGCACAAGATTGACACAAGAGAACCTTTCAGGGAATATTTCCTTCTGAAACTTGTCTCCTACACTGCCAAACAACATAAAAAATTTGATGGAAATTTAAATGGAAAACCAATGAAATAATTTTATAAAATAGCATTTAAAATAAGTGTTTCTAATGAGAAAAATGGATTTAAGAGAAGACTAAAAATGAATATAAAGCTTGAAGAGCGAACTATTGGAGATAAATACTGTCTTAGAGAGCTATTTTATGCAATAAAATTTACAATGCAATTATAATTATTGCCTTTGTTGGATTTGTCGACACGATTCTAGCATATTACAAACCATAAGACTAGGCCAAATTTGGCCGATCATCATCAGTGTAGCAAGGATGGAGTAGTAAATGATATCTTACAGTTGCCAACTCTCTGTCTTTCCGATCAAGAATCTGCCTTCGGAAGCAGTTGTTGGCCTGAGTTTGAAGTTCTCCACCTTTATGTCTCAAAATGTGGTAGATGTATGAGATTTTTCTCTCTTTGGTATGAGAAATTGAACTTAATATTTCTTGAAAATCTAAGTCACATGCCAAAATCACATTCTGTAGGCTATATGCCATAGGAAGTANTTTTAAAGTTTTTATTGCAAATTTATTTGAATTGCCACATTCATAGATAATTCAATGTTTCTATTTTATCCAATACATTACAGTTTATTAGTTTATTATGTCATTGTTTTCCAAGAATAGTAAACATGAAATTGTTTATCAATTTTTTAATACACTGTTGCTAATGCTCCATGTAATAAAAAGTATATGAATGGTGTTCCGCAGCCTCATAAACGTTGAGAAACACTAGTGTAGAGAATTGCAAAACTTTTCATCAGGCTACACTCTTTCTCATTTTATAGAATGCTTTTTGGGATTTTCGTCCTCCTTTGGCCACACTCTTAATTCAAAATAGTCTTCTTTCCCGATTTTCCACTGTTGTACAGCCTCAATATTCTGCACACCCTTCTCTAGCCTGTTACTGTTACTGAGTTATTAGAATGTCTGTATGTCAGTTTATGCATTTGCTAGATCAATTTTCAATAGCATAACATTTTTCTTTCAGTAAGAAAAATTTTAACTCGAAAGCAATCAAATTTACTTACATATAAAATACTGTCCGTAACGAGGAGCCTTGAGTTCTTGTGACAGCAACTCCACGTTCTCCCTGGTGGGACGTAAAAATGCAATGCACTTCAAATGTTTTAGACTGTCCCTGTCTTTATTGGCTGTTTCGATTTTTTCAAACAGGTATACTTCTTTCTGTAAGATCTCGGACTGTGCGAATGCCAAGCTCACTATGCTAATCTGTAAAAAAGAATTCAACCATTATATGTTTGCCTGTTATGAAAGTAAATAGACATGATAAAACTAAATTATAATGGCTAGAAGTTCAGACAGTTAAGGCATACAACTCCAAAGACTCGTTGAAATCTCAAAATCTTTGCTGGTAGCACTCTGATCTCAGTTATTGTAATTCTGTTTGATCTCATGTAATAGCTACAATAAAGAATACACTGACCAAATTTCATTTGTAAGTATTGGACAATCCTTGCACAGCAGTAAAAAATGTTTATTAAACTGGAAATCTAACATTTTTGGTCATATTTAATGACCTTCATCTGGTCGATGTTCTAAACATCAATCATTTTCAAATACTAGTGGAAATAGAACAGAAATTTATGAATGCCGGACACAGTTTAAATATAAAAGATCCTACAGTCCGCCACATAGTTGTGACACGAGTAAAACTAAAAGACAAAATTAAAAAAAATGCATGTTACATTTCATTGCATAGATCACAAACCAGGATTTCCAAACACTCGACGTCAGGTTTGTGTTCTTGTAGTCAACAGAGTACCACTTACGTGCTGATTTATAGATTTCAAAAGCCTTGACGTGTCTGAAAAGATGCCTGTTTCGTATGTGCTCGGTACCCTTAAATTCTTCTCACCAAACCTTGACCAAATAAAATAAACCATTTGATGGTGCACAAGATGATTGAGTGATTTACTACCAAAGCAGTTACTTTGTGAATTACTGTGCAATTTATACATCTTTGACAAGCTGAATAGTTAGCACACAATTAGGTACATTGAAAATATGTTAAGCATATAACATTATTTTAAAAATACGTAGAAATATCAGCAGTATTAAATGTTAAAATTATAGCAGACCATCTCAGTTAAAGGATATGCAGCTTACTCATACAATCGAGAAAAAGATAAGCTGCATATTTTTCCGACATCAATTAAGCAAATGGATAAGCAACTGTCTTTTCTCCAACTGATTCCATTACAATTTTAGCATATAACACTGAAAATTTTCTTATTTATTGCTTAAATAATATTACAGAATCATTAGATAGTGCTGTAATTACTGTAATTTTGTATGGATAACTTGCAGCAGTTTTTAAGCCGCACCATTGCATAATGTGCGTTTTCTATGTTTAGATACATAAATATTTATCATTCTGTTACTTATAAACTATAAAAATAGCAAACTGTACCATACCTTGTCTAATGAGTAAATACACTCTATCATGTTTACTTAACAGCATATTTCTCAAAACATCCCTGTTCTTAAGCAGTGTGTACCTGCAAGGACTGTAAATCACTCTTTAGTCAGCAGTCAGCACAAGATTGACACAAGAGAACCTTTCAGGGAATATTTCCTTCTGAAACTTGTCTCCTACACTGCCAAACAACATAAAAAATTTGATGGAAATTTAAATGGAAAACCAATGAAATAATTTTATAAAATAGCATTTAAAATAAGTGTTTCTAATGAGAAAAATGGACTTAAAGAGAAGACTAAAAATGAATATAAAGCTTGAAGAGCATCACTAATATATAGTTAGAAGGGGACTATCGGAGATAAATACTGTCTTAGAGAGCTATTTTATGCAATAAAATTTACAATGCAATTATAATTATTGCCTTTGCTGGATTTGTCGACACGACTCTAGCATATTACGAACCATAAGACTAGGCCAATCATCATCAGTGTAGCAAAGATGGAGTAGTAAATGATATCTTACAGTTGCCAACTCTCTGTCTTTCTGATCAAGAATCTGCCTTCGGAAACAGTTGTTGGCCTGAGTTTGAAGCTCTCCACCTTATTGTCTCAAAATGTGGTAGATGTATCAGATTTTCCTCTCTTTGGTATGAGAAATTGAACTTAATATTTCTTGAAAATCTAAGTCACATGCCAAAATCACATTCTGTAGGCTATACGCCATAGGAAGTATTAATTCTTGTAATTGTTTTCTATAGATAATTAACTTTTTACATAATACTTATTATATATGGTACAATTCTCTATTATTCTATATTCTACTTTTTACTGCTAAGATCAAGTGACCAAGGTCTCCAGCTCGATCCCTTCAGATTTCAATAAATTATCATATTAGCCCCATGTATTGCATGGTTACTAAGATGTAAGCCGAAACATGAAGGCACATCATGTCATCTTTGCTTGTACAGTAATTAAACAGCCAACTTTGTTGTCCAATGGTTCCTTGACTAAGATCAATTACAGTATAAAACTTGGCAAGATAATTTCAAGTGGACAATTTGGATATTCTAATATAAGTTTCTAATAAAATGTAATCTATTCACAAATCTTCACCAAAGTCTAAGTAAAATTTGTTATCGTAGAACCAAAGCCACATTTCAATTGCTCATAACTTGGGAAGAAAATATCCTTTTACAGCCAAATAATAGCTTTTTATGTAATTAACTTAAAAGATCTTGAATTTGCATGCTTACTGAGCTGTGTTCACTCAAATATTAAGCAAAAAATTTGCAAGGATTTTGATTACTTTCCAAAATCAGTTTGATTTTTAGAATAATCCTGTTTTTTTTCATCTTAGGCTATTCAAAACAGAATGCTTATTCTTTAAGAGTTTGTTTTGAATGCTTGTATTCTATATGATAAGGAGACATGTATAGAATTTATAACTAGTATCAATACAGAAGGTTCTTAATACTATGTCAAAATGCTATTATTGGTACACATTGGTATGCATTGGTACACAGTGGCAAAGACACTACCGGTTCTTTGAAGCCAAAAAGATATGCTTGATAGCCAGGCAAGTCCAGTTATAAGTATTTTTAAATGCAGACAAACATACACATGAAATATAATAAAAAAACAAATGGGTATCTTTACCATATAGTTTCCAAGCCAATAAAAAATAACTAACTTATGGAATTAAAAATCTAATCAATATTTGATAGTGCCTATTCTGGCTAGCTATATCAATGACTAGAAGAGCTCCCTGTAGAAGATGGTATTACAGCTAAAATATGCTGCTAAAGAATACAACAGGTATCTTTCGTATAGATCAGTAAAATCACCTACAAGGACCATACGAATGGCAAAGAATTGACAAATGCATCTCTCTCTTTGAATAAAATTTCCACAGTGTTACCAACAAACTATTTTCCATCACACAAGCAAGCTACGTACTGACAAGGGCTGATAGTTAGACTCTCAGTTGTATTTGTTCATTAGTATAAATTCTTATAGTAAATCCAAAAGTATCATTTGAAATTTGACTCACATGAATGGAACTATTAGACACAGGCTCAAAAGGGGAGGTTCTCTCCTATGCCTGCAATTTTGGCCAATAAAAAAAAAACAAACATTCCTCCTGCGAGGGTCAGCTCGTTTCAACATCAAGCAATCCAAAGGGGTCAAACCAAAAACATCAAAAATCCAACTAGCAGGAACACCCAATATCATAAACTTCCTTTTTAACTTTTTGGTTTCTGCATTCAATAATAAGCCTTTCTAGCAATCAAGTTAGCTTCATCTATAATGTGAGGTTATCAAATACAGATTTAAAAACATCTGCAAAATCTTAAACCTGAATCCCCCCACGTACGAAGCAGGGATGCAACTAGGAAAGCGGGACACATGCCCAGAGACCGAGAGAAACAGACGTCTAAGAGGGAAGGTAGGCTAGCAGCAAGGTGGACAAACTCGTCACGCATTGTCCCAAAGAAGAGAAGGTGCCAGCATTCTCTCTCGGGTCGGTCGGTCCTCGTTCCATCCCCAGTACGAAGTATCGTATTCGAATATACTTCCACCCATCTATAAAGCTGTGCCTAATACATATATTAACAACAAATCCTAATTAGAATACACGAGTAAAAGTTACTTTTAGCCGATTTATATAATTGGTACCCAGTAAAAAATGGCCTAAAAGTAACTTCTTCCAAGACGTTCAATCACTGGACCGTTTACGTAAGTTAATGCATTACATATCAAATATAAAGCAGCAGAGTGCATAAGGGATTTAATCTGACCTAGAAAACTACTTAAAAACCATTAAAAGAGCCGCTAAACGGCTCGTGCGATATGTAAACAAACATTCCAGATGACGTAAGATACTTACAGTTTCCTTATCCATAAGCAGTACTTTCATCCCTATGCCACATTCTTCGATCATTTTGTTAATATACAACCTAATGGCCGTGATTACGTTCATTTTCGGGGTTTATATCCTTTACGAACTCGAGAAACATACAATGCGCACACCTCGATCCTCCCTACGGGAAACGGAACTACAAAGGCGCCATCTCTTATTCCGAGTTTGACGACCGGAAGAGGAACTTTCGACGGCGCCACCTGCCAGTTCCGGTGGTAGTAGCATGGGAGATCCCGAAACGCATGGTTTTCGTTTCGGGTTCGTTCCGATTTAAATTACCGAAATTCGATTCGTAAGTCGGTTTATTTTTATTTTATTTCGTCAATTTGACGTTTTATTGACGTCAGAAAGCAGATTTTGCGGTGAAACGATCGGACACGTGACTTTTAAGACTCCGAAATTGATTATTTTACGATAATTTTGAAATTTGCCAAAATCTCAATCGTTGAAATGGTATTTTAAACATAAATTTTTATGCAAAATCGATTTAATTTTCGACGTAAACGCGTTATCAGTTATAAATTCTGCTTGCGTACAGATAAAGTGTCAAACTGATATCCCAAATGACGTAAGGTTGTAGTTCTGAATGTGTATGGCTGTCCTACCTGGAGAGGTCATTTGAACCACATCGGGGAGGCCTGCAGGAATCCTTTAAACTTTATTGGACTCTCTTTGGCACCTGATGTCTGTGGCAGGTTGCATACCCACCAGTGACCAAATGGGTAAAACCACCAAACACTGGTTTGCATCCAGCCAACGGTATGGCCATGTGGAGTTTTCTGGGTTTTCTTCATGTTAGTAACACCTAAATATGGCCCGGTTTCCCAGAAAAGATTTCCCCGGGAGGCAGACAGATAGCCGGTGTGTCACGTTGCCATACACCAATAAAACTGGCAGGTCACCTCCGATTCTTGGGTGATCTTGTCTGTAATAAACAGAGTTAACGGTCTGGTGTCGAATCAAACCGTCCGGTTCTGTGGGTCTTGTCTGGTGTTCGGTCGAGAGGTCGAATCAAACTCCCAACAATTTATTAAGATTGAAACTAATTGACAAATAATTGACGTTCTATTTGGATATGATCACATGGGGAGTAAAACCACTCGCCGGCTTACTCCTTGTGTGATTTTATCTGAATAGAATATCACGTCATTTGTGAATTAGCTTCGATCTTAATAACGAGTAAATACAGATTTTGATACTCGTCGAAGGTTCCTGACAATTTCGTATCCAAAAAATATATTACAATAACAAAAACACAATCTTATTTTCAAACTGGCACAAAATTTTAATGAATGGACAAATGTTTCTGACCTAGTAATAGGCCTGATGCAAAAATGTTTGTATAGTCATTAACATTTTTTATTGGTTTGAAAGTAAAATTATTTTTTACTTTAGATTTACAGTGTCCTTCCACAACTTAATTTGGGGCTTATGTTGCAGCAATCGAAAGCTTGAGGTGCCAACATTGTAAAAACAGTAATAATATTAAACAGGACTAGACAGTAGAAGCATTAACGGAAATAATATGTTCCATTAAGACATGCTCCTTTTGTAAAATTCATAAAGCTTAAAAATTTTAAATAAAAAAAAAGATCAGGTGCTAACACCCAAACCGGCCTATGCGACAAACTCTCGGGTCAGTCCTATTAGTATGATTAGCGATTAACTGGTACACCTCTACAGAATATAGTAAATAAACCTGTAATAATACAATAATAAAAATTGCAATAATTGTTTAATTGTTTTTATTTGCTGAATTCTAGAGAATGTAAAACTAGTACACTATGTTATCAGAGAAAGAAAAAGAAGGAATTAATTGCATCCTCCAGAAACTAAGTGATTCTACACTAGAATCACTTGTATTTACGACTACCAAAGGCTTAATTAAAGCAGAAAGTAGAAAAGGTAAGCATTGTACAAAATCATTTATTGTATTTGTTTTACAATAAACTAACATTTGTTAATTTTCCAACAGAAGCGATAAAAGCCATAATTAATTACTCGGAATCGGCTTATGAGCTATTGAAAAGAAAAAAAATCAAGAAAGAATATTTATTTAACTTCCTAAAGGAAAATAATGTTATTATTTCTGTAACGTCTGAAAAATGGATGGTGATCAAGGAATGTCTGAAATTTTGGAATTCGGATACGACCCAAGTTGTAAGTTCATATTATTTATTTGATTATAAATACTTGAATTGCAAATTATCTTTGCATCTGAAAGTTAATTCTTTGGTTTCTTGGATTTTTGTTGTAACCGTCACCTTCTCTCTCCGTCTTCCCATATTCGTTGATTCTGTCCTTCGATCCAATCTTGTAGACGTCATCTCCTCTCGTCTTATATATCATTTCAAAATATATAGAAGGATTAATTGTATTATTTGTATAAGTGTAATATTGAAACAGAAAGCGGTACAAATACTTCCATTAAAAGGATGTTAGCAGGGGGTGCAACTAGAATCTGTCACTCAAGACAGATGAATATTTTGGTGCTCCCTCGCATTTTGGACAACATTGATGAGTCCATATATACGATATACCACACAGTTAGTCTACCCTTTTCTCTTGTCAACCTGTTAGCTGGCATGAATAAATTATTCCTTATACTTTGTTTTTCCCTTATATTTACACACAATTGTATATTTCCTCTTGACATCCACTTATCTGACACCTGAGGCACATGCCATCAGTTTGTAACTATAATACAAGTGTAGCATACCATAATTTGAGAATGTTTCTAAACTCCACAGTGTGAGCAAAACAATGACATCATTTTGGAGAGAAAAGAAATGACTTGTTACCATATGTTTCGATGCTGCCGAATAATGGCTGATGCAGTGTGTATTTATTTGTTATGTGAATTGTTTTTGTCTACAAACCATTTAATTGTAAAAAATGTCTTACATCAAATAATATAGAAAAAGAAATGTTAATTCTAGAAGTAATAGAAGACAAAAGAAACAAATGCAGAAAGTGTGCTAAGATAGAAGGATTTGTGAAAGACATTACACCATGCTACACTAATGTATCTTTTAAAAGCCAGTTTAGACTGAGCCGATCTACAGTTGAAATAAGTATATTTGTTTATTTTACATGTATTAGGAAATATCAATAGACTCGTATTTTTGAAATCAATAATGTAACCCATAGTTTTCCAAATTTTTTGGGTCGTAGCCCACTTTTTCAAACAGTGATTTGATGGCATTCCTCTTAGATGAAGTATACTATACTACATATTGAAAAACAAGGACAGATTTTTAAAATTACTTTATTAAAAGATATTAACAATATTGGTGTATTGCTCGAAGTTTGATTAACATATGTACTGTATGTTGTTAAAAAAATTAATATAATATTATTAGCGAGAGGGCTGAGCTTGGTGTAATGACACTAATTTTTTGATATTTCGTGCCATATTTGTCATCGGCAGTCTTAAATGCTGCATTCCACTACTGATGATCTGTTTCTTTTCTTTCTTAGTAAATTTCTGACTATGCTAAATCCTCTTTCGGCTAAATATGATGATGGAAATGCAATGAAAAACTTCTTTGATGCAACCTTTATGGCTGGATCAAAAAACCCTTTATTTGATCCACTCATTACCATATAATCTTACTGCTCCTAGAGATGAGAAAGATTCCTACATAAATAGATACCAATACAGCAGTCATTTTACGCAGTGTCATTTCTCAGGTATTTTTGCCAATGTTCAGGTTTGTCCCATGATATCAGGGTCTAGAATAACAGTTTTCTGCATCAGGATATTCAATCAAAAAGAATTGTTATTTCAGAGGATGCTCATTTTCTAGGTGACAGTGTCTATTCTTTAAATTCATACCTTATGATGCCATATAAGGATAATGAGCATCTTACAGTAAAGCAAACATATTTTAATACTTTATTTAATATTTTAAGTTCTAAATTCACTATTTATAGGTATATTTCTATCAATGAGATTTTTAAATGTTATATGCGAGTTTTTACCACCAAAATTCTGTTAAAAAGTTATTTTTAAACCACTGTTACTGGAGTTTTTGTAATTGAATGTGAAGGAATGAGAGATTTTGTTATTTCAGAGGATGCTCATTTTCTAGGTGACAGTGTCTATTCTTTAAATTCATACCTTATGATGCCATATAAGGATAATGAGCATCTTACAGTAAAGCAAACATATTTTAATACTTTATTTAATATTTTAAGTTCTACACATATAGTGATTGAACAAGCATATGGGAAATTGTTTGGAAGATTTTGTAGGTTGAAGTATCTTCTGATTTTCAAGATGAATTTAATACCAAAAATAATAACTGCATACTGCATTCTGCACAATACATATGTGACCGAAGGGTCGGCACCTTCTTAGTGCCTCGTCAGGATTGACACCACCGTGTCTCAGGTGACATGGAAGCCGAGGCGGTTCGGAAGTTGATCATGCAAGTGGTCACGTTACTGAGTGATCTGATTTTGGATAGAGTGAGAGAGAGACAGAACACTGGAAGTACGATTACGCAGAGTAGGTTAACAAAATAACGTTTAATGGTAATCTAAGACATTGAATACAGGAAGCACATTCCTTGTTAAAGAGGGATAATTGGCTTTCATGGTAAGAGAGAGAGAGAGAGAGAGTTCGCATTAAAACGTGTTGTGATAGATACCTGATGTATTAGCCCTTTGGTGAATTCCAAGCACTCACTAAATGTTGGTAGTTAGTTAATCCAATAAGCACAAAATTCCACTCTGGTAAGGTTTAATAGGCACAAAATTCCTCTCGGGTAATGATTAATAGGCACAGAATTCCTCTCGGATACTGGTTAAGTTTTGAAAAACAGGAGACTGCACAGTTGGTAGGATAAAGGAAGATGCCTCGAAGATCAGTTTGTTGCTATAGTCAACTGACAAACTTGCAACAATAGGTCGTGAGGTTACGAGAAAGCGTCTTTTTAGTTGCTGAGAACTTGTCGAGTGATTAACTCCCAGGTGTGAAAGGTGACAGTAGTTTAATAAAATGGTATATTGTTAAAAATCTAGGTTAGGCCATAAACAAAGAAGGCTGAGTGTCACACATACATTGACCAGGATGATGACACCAAAGAAGAAAAAGTCCCACAACCAGAGGAAGTCTTGTATGTCACAAATATTCCATCTCGGGAGGGTATCAATAAAATGAATGCAATTGCAAATCAACATTATGCAGAGAAATGATGCAAAATGTTTCATCATTTCTCTGCAAAATTGTAAAATGTAATAAAATGTAAAATAAATTATTTTACAATTGCAACAGTAAAATAATTAGAAAATTCTAGAATTTCAATGGTTTATTGCCAGATGCTAACTCTATCACTTCAAAATATGGCCATGTGATGATAGATTTACCTATGCCATTTTGCATACCTTTATTTTTTTTTGTATGTAATAATGATTTTCACTTATAATTACGAGCTGCCAGTAAAGTTATATCTACAAACATTCATTTTTTCTGTTACATCATTCCACAGCTTACTTTTTTTGATAGATTTCATAAATTCATAAATTTCATAATTTAAGTATGTCATTCCTATATATTCATCTGATTGGAGTTTTCGAATTTGAAACACATCATGTTCAAAATATCAAACATTTCCATTTTGTTGAATAATACACAGAGATTTTAGGGGATAATTGAAAATGTTAATTTTATAGAAAAATAAAGCTGCTGGACTAGATTAAGTAAATAAATAACCACAATATCTTTGTCTTTTTTCATTGAAATTCTAGTTTTGATTAAAAGGAGTGTTGTTTCATGTGTTCATGCCTCTAGAAAACATGATATATTTTATAAGTTTCATACCATAACCTATATATGTTAATATTTTCCAATGTAAATGAGTCGTACAAAGTTAATATTACCTTTTATGGAAGTCTGCGGGTTTTATTGTATATTGCTTTTTCCAGCAAATGGTGAAACTCCAGATTGTTTGTTATAAAGTTTTATTTTTTCCAGATCTATTCCCTCTGGTAAATCTATTACTCCAAACAATTAACATTTCTAAAGAATTCCTTCCATTGAACTTGCAAATTCATAAAAGGATTCAGTGTTTCTGACCCCCTAATACAGAAAAATAACACCTATTTACAAGATATATATAAGAACTTTGGTCTCTTCCATGGTGGCTGCCATCTTGAAGTTAAATTTTCTTCCAGTAATTACCAGACTACAGCAGCTCTAAGGACTGTTGGAGATTGATGAAGCTACAGGGATTGGTTATGTGACTAACATGCTTCCTGTTGCTAATGGAGATGATTAGAAATGTTTCAAAACACACTGTGCCGTTTTAAAACATCCTCTCAGTGTGCGTCCAAATGCTCTCAAGTCACTGTTAACTCTAGGAGGGAGCCAAGACACCAGTTTGTGGCATCTAAATATGAAATAATTGAAATAAGTACTAGCATTATAGCTACTACAGAGATAATGACAGTTGAGTTGGTGTAAGGCCAACTTAACTATCAAATTATATTTGAAGCCTAGGCTTAATCATTATCATCTAGGTAGGATAGTAACTGAGCCGAGATAATAAAATTACAGTATTCATTTATCGGTTTTTAATGATTTAATTTATGTAATTTTATTTCAAAATTCACTATTTATAGGTATATTTCTATCAATGAGATTTTTAAATGTTATATGCGAGTTTTTACCACCAAAATTCTGTTAAAAAGTTATTTTTAAACCACTGTTACTGGAGTTTTTGTAATTGAATGTGAAGGAATGAGAGATTTCAAAAGGTTTTTATATTTAAAATGCCAAAGATACTAAAACTGGGCAATTTTGTAATATGTTTCAATTGTAATATTGTTTTTCTCATATTTTTCCTTTTCATCCCAAGCCAAGGAGAAATTTACAAATACATCAGCAAATTCCATCTTGCTTTCTTACTATCAATTTTTCCTTCACACTATAGTAGAATTAACTTCTCTTTTATATATCATGATTAATCACCTTTCTCTCTCCCCATCCTTTTCTTGGTCTTTTTATTGGTCACTTCCAAATAGCCTCCTTTCATAAACCTATCTTTGGAATGTCTTTTCTCCCAGCATTTTCATGTATCCAAACCATCATAATTTTACTCCATTAATTTCTTTATATAATTAAGATAAGATATGGTAGAACTTCCATGTTTATG